GTGTGTGTGTGTGTGTGTGTGTGTGTGTGTGTGTGTGTGTGTGTGTGAGTCTGAGAGCATGTTAAGTGTGAAATAGAAAATTTAATAAAAATAGTCATTTTTTACCATTTTCATGAAGTTGCCTTGTGAAATTTTTATTTCAGCACCAATCTTAGCAAATAAGACTACTGGGAAAGCTTTTTTCTCATGGCCCAGTGATACACTCCATTGGAATGCAGAACCTTTTATATGAGGTTTAAATCAATACACGAATTCTCTATTTTACAGAGGCAGTGAATTACAACTAGGGGTCATAAAGGACCCCAGCCCTGATAAAACTTCTTTCCTAGGGCATGTACGAGCATACATGGATGGCAGGGTGGGAGGAGAGATAGGGTTGAATCATCATGGAAGCCCCTAGTGTAAGTCTCCTCTTTGGCCTTTGTGCAAGCACGCTGGTCAAAAGGAGTGGATGAATAGTGTTCAAGTTCCGGTGCTTTATGAAACCATATTCTATGTGTAAGAGTACCTGTGGCCTGTAAAAAGAAAGGCAATTCTGGCTGATGCACACAGGGGTCAGGTGCCATAAGCAGCTTTGAAGGAGGCTGGGAGTGAAGACACATTCACACATGTTAAAGTGTTCCATATAAAGCTGTAATTTATATTCCTTTTTAAAAGATTATCTGCTTTCAAATAGTTAGCTACATGCTGCACATAGCTGTGTGGTAACTGAAAAATCAAATCTGTTATATACTTATGAATGATATATAATTTCATGTGATTTTCATCTTCTGTATTTATTTCTGTTTTCCAAATATTTTAATTTAATGACGCATTTATTGGCCAGTGAACAAAATGGCCTGTGATGAGCACTGAGCCTGGTGTACACAGCTACAAGGCTAATGAATGCGCTCAGCAGTGTGGAACACCAGAGTCAGAGTCACTTTATTTTCTTCTTCATTAACCAGGCTTGCCACTAACGTAAGTATTGCTGGTAAACTTGCCACTTAGCCCTCCTTAATATTTGCAGAAGTCTTGGAGATTCTGTTATTAAAATGCAAAGTATATGATTTCACTTTTGGTAAATTAGAAACAAATTAGGGGGACAATTATTAATAATTTAATAAGAATTTACTGCACCCTTACTGTATACCAGCTTTGAGTGCTTAAGATATAAACTTGATAATAAAAATAATAAAGATAGACATACCTATATAGCACTTATTATGTGCCATGTTTATTTCAAGAACTTTACATAAACCAGTTAAATCTTCATAATAATCTATGAGGTAATTGTACAATTATTACCATATTTTTACAGGTATGAAAACTGAGACACATAAAGTAACTTGCACAAGGTCACCCAACTAATTTGAATCCAAGCAGCCTGGCTTCAAAGACTAACCACTCTGCCATATGATATATAATACTAAATATTATAATTTACACTATAAATTATTATGTACCCCAAAATGAAATTTTGTTGTATTTATGTATTTCAGTATTTTCCCTTGGAATACCAAAATTCTAACAATGCCCAACAGCCAGCTCAACAATCCCTCTAGGACCATGTTAATGACATACTTTTTAAGAATAGTTACAAAAAGAATTAAGGTAAAATTCTATTTTTAGTTACACTTGAGCCCTAAACCCTAATACAGGTCTCTCTGGCATGTGGGCAAAAGCTGATGGCTTATCCTCAAGGCCTAAAGGACCTCTACACTAGGCTAAACCCAAATCAAATGAACCTCCATCCCACCACAAGCTATGGGAGTGATTATAGTATCAAATTGTATTCCTGAGAAGAGATGAAAGAGAAATATAAAAAGCAGTCCCTGACATCAGGAAGCTGGCCTGGTACTCACAACTAGGCCATGTTATTCTAGTGTAGATAAACCAACTCACAGAATACCAACCTCAGAAAAGGTTACTCTGGGACCACAATAAAATGAGACAAAGCAAGGTCTCTTAATTTTGTCTAAGCACAGACAAAAACAAGGTCACTTTGACATCCACAAAATACCAAACACCCTTGTCATTCTAGCTAAAATGAGTAGCTAAACCTCTTTATCAAGTACTGCCTTATCTTTGTTCTATTTTCTCCCCCCATAGATAAGATTTATTGAGCTACCAATACCCCCACTTCCTTAGACCATATACCAAATCATGCAACCAAAGCCCAAATCCTGAAGTATGTTTTCTAACACCCACTTACTGATAACATACAACGGTTCTCTGTCACAGCAATGATGAATAAACCCAACTTGTTCAACTACTGGTATGTCCCTGGTGGTCTTTGGCTGGAGGCCACTGACATAACAGATACAGCAAATGGGACTGGCCTGCCCTTACAGAAAGCCCAGAAGCAGCTTTACTGCTCTATTTCATGAAGGCAAGATAAAGGGACAGGAGGGACTTCAAAATGTCTGATATTCCTCCCTGAAATAGCAAGAAAGATACACCCATGTTCCTGACTTTTTAATGCATAGTAACAGCAACCACTATTAAAAGGGGCCCAATTTTTGTGTGTGGGAGGGGTTTAGAGGGAGTCAGGAATTTAATAGAGGTCAAGATTAATGGTGGTGAAAAGTGTGAAAAAGTCTACATTTATCAAGTATACACTGTAAATGTTTCCTGATTTAGGTTCCCCTATAATCGTGAGTTGTCTGTTTCCCAATATCCTGTCAACTATTGCAACCCCAGAGAAAAGCAAGTGAGCATCTACCCCTAACCCTGGGAGAAAGATACGATATTAGAGGAAGGTCCTGTCCAGACAGGAAAAGGAGAGAAAAAATCCCATACCTTTCTCCCCAGTTGATTGTAGAGATGAGACAGTGGTAAGAAATGCAGGCAATGTTATAAACTTACCTCTTTGAGCCAAAATCCGAAGGAAGAGGTATGTTCAATAGTGGAAGAATAAGTCACGAGCAGAGGAGCTTTTGTTCCATTTTCATTTTATAATTCTGTGGGATCACATCACAACCACCTGGGATGGAAGAGTGGATAGGCAGCAATAACGAGATAGAGTTAGCACTTCCTAGCCACTCTCAGCTCTCACATGGCATGGAAGAGATTAAGAAGTTTGCTGTTGGGCTTCCCTGGTGGCGCAGTGGTTGAGAGTCCGCCTGCCGATGCAGGGGACACGGGTTCGTGCACCAGTCTGGGAAGATCCCACATGCTGCGGAGCGGCTGGGCCTGTGAGCCATGGCCGCTGAGCCTGCAAGTCTGGAGCCTGTGCTCCGCAACGGGAGAGGCCACAACAGTGAGAGGCCCGCGTACCGCAAAAAAAAAAAAAAAAAAGAAGTTTGCTGTTATCCCAGAGGGATAGATGTGTCCTTCACAGAGTTTGCCAAAGGGGGCAGCCAAATTTCTGGGTTTCCACACTTGAGGAAGGCAAAATCAGCTCTGGGACAAAGTCAGCTCTCTGACCAACCACATCCCATTGTCCCCAGTCAGTGCACCCCCAACCAATGTCATAAAGCAATATAAGCCCCTATACATCCAGATGACCTTGTGGAAGAGTAGGTAAATCTGAAATATAGACTAACACACATAAGCCTGTTATTTTTGGAGTGTTTTAATTATTAAATGGCAATGAATTTACTGGATTGATTAAAATTGAGATTTTTGTTTCCCTGCAGCCCTGGGAGGTGGAGGTGGACTCATGATTAAGACTAGATCAGTTGTAAACAATAAAAAAAGATACACTTTCTTTGCCCCTCTAAGCAGAGTTTTAGTAAATTTGCAGGCATATATAAACACAGAAAAAGAAGAGTAGAAAATTAATCAAAACATAAGCAATGCTTATCTTTGGAGAATGGGTATATGGTTTTCGGTACTCCAATAAACATATTACTTTTACAATTAAAAAAAGATCACTTTTATAACATAAATCACTGAAATTTTTATTCATTTTATTTTGTGGTGAAGGAACATGAAAAATATTTTCAGAATGATAAAGTGATCACTTTCAATGAATGATTAAGTACTATAGGAAAAGAGAAATTATACACTGTAATTACAGTTTACACAATTACACAGAGCAATATGTGGCAATCTTTGGAGAATACTGTGATTAACACTTCACTGATAACCTCAATATGAATAAGTTTCATTATTTATCATGGTCACATAAAATACAAGAACTTATGAACAAGCTGTTATTAACAATAAATATGGTTTTGCCTGAAATTCTTAACTATATACAGGCTTTTTCTTAAGCATTCAAGTTTTAAATTCTATTGCATTTTTATTGCAAATTGAAGCAGGCACAATAAAATTAAACCCACTAGCTAAAGTCCTAAGAAAACACAAATGCAAGAAACAAACAACAGGAAAAGAACCTTGGGTTGGTTCCCCAAGATTTTCTTTTGGAATAAATATTGATCTCATTTAGCATTTCTGATAATATTCACAGCTACAGATTAATACCTACATGACAAAAGGACTTCAGAAGGATTAAACTACACATTATATTAATATGTCTTAAATCATTTACCACAGTAAATACTTTCTTGAAGATATTCTACTACTAAAATGCAAGGTCAAATGAATTAGTATTTGAACTTCTCATATTTCTGAGACATACATTTTAACTGACACTACAAGAAAAATTAAGAACACAAGATGTAATTAACTTCTTATAACTTGAGTAACTAGATCTAGGGCAATTAATTTCAGGGCCATGTACACTCTGCTTTAGCGATCAATGTCTTCTACTATTGCTTCAAGATTTTTGCAACAGGCTTTAACTTCCTCAATTGCAGCCATCCAATTATCGTAAATAATTTTGTCATAAATTTCATCATTAACTTCCCTAACTACCCCCTCCTGCTGAGATTCAAGTGCATCACCTGAGAAAAATAATACTGATCTTGGGATTATGTAAGTACGTAAATTGTGACCAAGTAGAAAATCATCATTTCCATCCTTTCCCTTTGAGTTGATTCCTTGAGTAAAGAAATTGAAGAATGAATCCTTGGGGAAATCTTCAGTCACAGTTCGGATTGTTCCCCAGATCCGGTGTTTCTGCTTTTTCTTGACTGTTTTCAAAGTGACATTCTTTCCTTCATTCCAATCTATTTTACAGCCTATGCAATACTCAATCGCGGTTCCCCTATAGGGATGGGGATCATAATATGCTAGCCTTGACTTCAGCACATAGGTCTTTGTCAACAGCTCATTTTTGAAATATTCATTTGGTTTGAAGTGAAATTCTAGCGTGAAACTGAGAGGTTCACCAGGATCTGAAAGCTTCACTTTAATATCTGTCAGGAGCTTCAGAATAGGCTCATCATATTTCTTAATCAAAGGAGTGAGTATGTCAACGTTTTTTAAGACAGTCAGCCAAAAATCAGGAATTCCTTTAGGATCCTCTTCTTTATTCTCATCTCCAGCTGCCTCGGTGTCGTCGTCATCATTGTCGTCGTCATCATCATCATCATCCTCTTCAATAGCATAATCATAATAATCTTCTTCACAACCGTCATCCTCATCTAGGTAGTCATGTAGCACACCCTCCTCAATACCACACATCTCTTCCTCATCATACATCTCATCATCATAGCCCTCAGAGTCTGATTTATATTCACATTCCTCTTTTGTAGGTTCATAGATTGCATTGATTATCTGACGTCTTTTTTCCAATAAAGGTTGATACATTTCAGCAAACTTTCTTTCAATACCATGAAATTCCCTTAGGAATTTGGATTCTAGATTGGCCACTCTAGTTTGAAGCTTTTTGAGGGCTAACACACGGTATTTAATTTTCACAGGTAGACTTTCAACAAAGTCTGTATCTAAAAGATAACCGATAAGTCCTTTTGGACGGTCTGGGTCTGAGTCCTCATCAGCATCTTCACCTTTTTCCCCGCCATCCCCGGACTCAGCAGCAGCCTCTTCACCTTTTCCCCCTTCTTCCCCAGGCCCCGCGGCGGCTTCTTCACCGCGCTCCCCATCATCTCCAGGCCCAGCGGCGGCATCTTCACCGCGCTCCGGCTGTTCCCTGGGCCCCTCCATCATTACCTTATCACCAGTCTCTTCTTGACTGGATTCTAACAGTTCCTTGTGGTCGGCTGACTTGGCCATTTTTCAAAGGACCTCACACGCCTAAGGTGGCTACCGCCAAGATCAGGAGACCTGACCTCCGCAAGGAAAGACTCACCGGAATATCAGAAGCGGCGGTGGCTGGGGCAGAGGTGGAACGTGCGGTAGTGGTCGGACTGCGATACGGGAGCCGGGAGCGACTGTCGAGGCTGCTGCCAGGATGAAGACGGTGCTGAGGCTGTGAGAACCGGACAGAGGCAGCGGTGGCCGGGCTGGGGTGCAGAGAGTAGCAATGGCCGCAGTGACCGGTCCTGCAGGAGCAGGCCAGAGACTGCAGAGAGCCGCAGTGGGCTGATGTCCTCCGCAAGCAGCAGCTGCTGCAAGTAAAAACGGTGCCGCAATATGATTACGCAGCTGTCTCTCGGCTAGATTTTCTTGTTGCAAATAGCTTGCTGCGTCACACCCTCCCTCCCCCACGACTCTATTCTAATTTCATTTGCTGGGCTGACGTGATTGACAAACTATGAGCCAATAAATTAATAGATTTATCAAGTTTCTAACTCTGCTCACTTTCCCAGGTTCTCTAATATGGCTGATTCATCCACCTCCCACTCGTCCCACACCACCACCCAAGTTTTCTAGAAACCAGGTTTTATTAGTTTATCCTTTCAGTTTTCAACTGGTATTATATTTTTATAATTTCAAAAGAGTTAAGAGAAAGTAGTAACTAAAATGTTAGACAAGGCATTCACCCATCCTAAATCTGTCCCTTTGATTTTAGCCCTGGGCTCTGGGAAGGAGAGAGGTGGGGGTGGGGGGGACTTATAAAAAGAGGTTAGAAGGGAAAACACTAAAAAAAATTAGCAAATGCTGGTCTCAGGGTGGTGTAACTGCCAGTGATTTAAATATTTTATATTCTGGTTTTCTGTACTTTCCACAAGCTGTATGATAAGTGAGCAATAATTTGAGATTGGAAAATCCTCCTTACCGTTTCCTGGGGTAGGGAGTGGGGACAGGAAGGAGTTTAGATGGTTAGATGGAGGTTGGGTTAAAGAGGGCCTGTGATGAAGAGCCAAAATGCTGTATCCCACTATATAGCAAGTGAACACACAAGACTATAAACCAGTTGTCTAGCTTATAGTCAGTAACCCAGTCCTAATACTGACTTGCCTCTTCCTCTTTCTTGATGCTGGGTTTAAAGCCATTGGGAATTTTTAAAAGAAATGCTCAAATGTAAATTAATATATATATATATTTAAATCTTAACATTTGCTTGACAAATGTTATCGAAAATAATCTAAATCTCAGCATTAAAGACATGGTTAGATATATGTTAGAGTGTTCATAGGATGGAATACTATGCAATCATTTAAAATTTTCCTTTGGGTAGGAATCATTGGTGATGTTTACTTTGTCCATATTTCTAATGCTGATTATTTATTAATTGAACAATTAAAAATGTTTGACTGTCTTTTCCAGATTTGAACACTAATTTCTATCGTGCTACTATCACAGAGATAAACACTGTTTACATGTTGTTGTATTTCTTTACAGATTCTTTCAGTATGTAGGTAAATTTTTCTTTTTACTTAATCTCTCTGTACTGTTTATCATTACATTATTTACAAAATTCAATTTTCAGGCTCATGTATCAATCTGGGTAGTTCTATAGTTAAGAGTCCTGCATTTCCGGTTTTCTTTTTCTGGTTCTGTAGTAGCAACATTCCTTGTAGTTTTCTGATAATAAATACAGTATATGCTTATTTTTTAAATTTTGGAAAATAAGGAAATTTTTAGAGCATAGCTGAAATCACTACTAATCTCACAACCCTGAGAGAACTAATGTGAACATTTCGGTCCTTTTCTTTCTGACCTGTTTATATTAAAGTGTTGTGTTTAGGCTAGAGGTTTTTTTAAAGTAAAACTGGGATAGACTCATAAATTTTTCCTCTCATTAACATATTCCAATGTTCTTAGTTTCTAAAAATGTAATTTTAGAAGAAAATCCACTTATTTAAATATACTATGTAAACTAAACTATTAAAGGCAAAGAGAAAGTATGTTCATCTAATTTTAAGATTGAAGAGTCCTTCATAGTCATACATGCAGCCACAGAAACCACAAAGGGAATGGTGTGATTTCATTACATGAAACAAAAGTATATGAAACCAAAAGCATAGACAATGAAAGAAAAAAAATAGATAAATTGGACTTCAAATTAGAAACATTTGTGTATCAAAGGATACTATCAAAAGAGTTAAAAGGCAACCCAGGGAATGGGAGAAAATACTTACAAGTCATATATCTGATAGAGGATTAACATAGAGAATATATTAAGGACTCCTACAACTCAACAACAACAAAAACCCAAAGAACTCAATTAAAAAATTGGCAAGAGGGCTTCCCTGGTGGCGCAGTGGTTGAGAGTCCGCCTGCCGATGCAGGGGACACGGGTTCGTGCCCCGGTCTGGGAAGATCCCACATGCCGTGGAGCGGCTGGGCCCGTGAGCCATGGCTGCTGAGCCTGCATGTCCGGAGCCTGTGCTCCGCAGCGGGAGAGGCCACAGGAGTGAGAGGCCCACGTACTGCAAAAAAAAAAAAAAAAATTGGCAAGAGTCTTCAATAGACATTTCTACAAAGAAGAGATACAAATGACACATGAAAAAATGCTCAACATCATTAATTAGGGAAATGCAAATTGAAAAAACAATAAGATACTACCTCACATCCAATAGGCTAGCTATTATGAAAATAATAAAATAATGAAAACAAAAAATAACGTGTCAGCAAAGATTTGGAGAAATTGGAAACTTTGTGTATTGCTGAGGAAGATAAAATGGTGCAGCAGCTGTGGAATGCAGTATGTCGGATCCTCAAAAAAAAAAATAAACAGAACTACCATATGATCCAGCAATTCCACTGCTGGGTATATACCCAAAAGAATTGAAAGCAGGGTCTCAGATATTTTTCCACCAATGTTCGTAGCAGCATTTTTCACAATAGCCAAAAGTTAGAAACAATTTATATGTCCCTTGACAGAGGAATAAACAAAATGTAGTATTTTTATACAATGGAATATTATTCAGCCTTTGAAAAGAATGAAACTCTGACACATGCTACAACATGGATTATTAACCTGGAAGACATTATGCTAAATGAAATGATCCAGACACAAAAAGACAAATACTGTATAATTCCACTTATATGAGGTACATAGACTAGACAAATTCATAGAGACAGAAGGTAGAATGGTGGTTGCCAGAGCCTAGGGGCAGGTGAAAATGGGCATTTTTATTTAATGGGTACAGAGTTTTAGTTCAGAAAAATGAAAACATTCTGGATGGTGATGATAGTTGCACAGTAATGTGAATGTACTTAATGCCACTGAACTGTATAACTAAAAATGGTTAAAATAGTAAATTTTATGTTATGTATATTTTACCATAAAATGCTGAAAACAACAAACCAACAAACAAAAACATAAACAATAAGTAAAATGAGCACTAAGCAAAAATAAGTAAAATATGTATAACACACATATATATACAAAATAAATGATTACTACATAAAGAGAATTGAAATGCCTATAATTTTTAAAAAACTGAGTATTCCAAACTTTGACAAGTATGTAGAGAAACTGGAACTCTCAGATATTGCTACAAACAAATTAGTATTAAAAATGTTCATGTCAGCTTTATTTATTTTTTTTTAACATCTTTATTGGAGTATAATTGCTTTACAATGGTATGTTAGTTTCAGCTTCACAACAAAATGAATCAGTTATATATATACATATATTCCCATATCTCTTCCCGCTTGCGTCTCCCTCCCTCCCACCCTCCGTATCCCACCCCTCCAGGCGGTCACAAAGCACCGAGCTGATCTCCCTGTGCTATGCGGCTGCTTCCCACTAGCTATCTACCTTACGTTTGGTAGTGTATATATGTCCATGCCTCTTTATCGCTTTGTAACCGTTTACACTTCCCCCTCCCCATAGCCTCAAGTCCATTCTCTAGTAAGTCTGTGTCTTTATTCCTGTTTCACCCCTAGGTTTTTCATGACATTTTTTTTTTAAATTCCATATATATGTGTTAGCATACGGTATTTGTCTCTCTCCTTCTGACTTACTTCACTCTGTATGACAGACTCTAGGTCTATCCACCTCATTACAAATAGCTCAATTTCGTCTCTTTTTATGGCTGAGTAATATTCCACTGTATATATGTGCCACATCTTCTTTATCCATTCATCCGATGATGGACACTTAGGTTGTTTCCATCTCTGGGCTATTGTAAATAGAGCTGCAATGAACATTTTGGTACATGACTCTTTTTGAATTATGGTTTTCTCAGGGTATATGCCCAGTAGTGGGATTGCTGGGTCATATGGTAGTTCTATTTGTAGCTTTTTAAGGAACCTCCATACTGTTCTCCACAGTGGCTGTATCAATTTACATTCCCACCAACAGTGTAAGAGGGTTCCCTTTTCTCCACACCCTCTCCAGCATTTATTGTTTCTAGATTTTTTGATGATAGCCATTCTGACTGGTGTGAGATGATATCTCATTGTAGTTTTGATTTGCATTTCTCTCATGATTAGTGATGTTGAGCATTCTCTCATGTGTTTGTTGGCACTCTGTATATCTTTGGAGAAATGTCTATTTAGGTCTTCTGCCCATTTTTGGATTGGGTTGTTTGTTTTTTTGTTATTAAGCTGCATGAGCTGCTTATAAATTTTGGAGATCAATCCTTTGTCAGTTGCTTCATTTGCAAATATTTTCTCCCATTCTGAGGGTTGTCTTTTGGTCTTCTTTATGGTTTCCTTTGCTGCGCAAAAGCTTTTAAGTTTCATTAGGTCCCATTTGTTTACTCTTGTTTTTATTTCCATTACTCTAGGAGGTGGGTCAGAAAGAATCTTGCTGTGATTTATGTCATAGAGTGTTCTGCCTATGTTTTCCTCTAAGAGTTTGATAGTTTCTGGCCTTACATTTAGGTCTTTAATCCATTTTGAGCTTATTTTTGTGTATGGTGTTAGGGAGTGATCTAACTTCATACTTTTACATGTAGCTGTCCAGTTTTCCCAGCACCACTTATTGAATAGGCTGTCCTTTCTCCACGGTACATTTCTGCCTCCTTTGTCAAAGATAAGGTGACCATATGTGCGTGGGTTTATCTCTGGGCTTTCTATCCTGTTCCATTGATCTATCTTTCTGTTTTTGTGCCAGTACCATACCGTTTTGATAACTGTAGCTTTGTAGTATAGTCTGAAGTCTGGGAGCCTGATTCCTCCAGTTCCTTCTTTCGTTCTCAAGATTGCTTTGGCTATTCGGGGTCTTTTGTGTTTCCATACAAATTGCAAAATTTTTTGTTCTAGTTCTGCGAAAAATGCCAGTGGTAGTTTGATAGGGATTGCATTGAATCTATAGATTGCTTTCGGTAGTAGAGTCATTTTCACAATGTTGATTCTTCCAATCCAAGAACATGGTATATCTCTCCATCTATTTGTATCATCTTTAATTTCTTTCATCAGTGTCTTATAATTTTCTGCATACAGATCTTTTGTCTCCTTAGGTAGGTTTATGCCTAGATATTTTATTCTTTTTGTTGCAATGGTAAATGGGAGTGTTTTCTTGATTTTACTTTCAGATTTTTCATCATTAGTATATAGGAATGCCAGAGATTTCTGTGCATTAATTTTGTATCCTGCCACTTTACCAAATTCATTGATTAGCTCTAGTAGTTTTCTGGTAGCATCTTTAGGGTTCTCTATGTATAGGATCATGTCATCTGCAAACAGTGACAGCTTTACTTCTTCTTTTCCAATTTGGATTCCTTTTATTTCCTTTTCTTCTCTGATTGCTGTGGCTAAAACTTCCAA